TATAGGTAAATTAAAGATATAAAGTCCTCATTCTGTCCATCTGCCTGTATATAGGTAAATTAAAGATATAAAGTCCTCATGCTGTCCATCTGCCTGTACGTAGGTAAATTAAAGATATAAAGTCCTCATGCTGTCCATCTGCCTATACGTAGGTAAATTAAAGATATAAAGTCCTCATTCTGTCCATCTGCCTGTATGTAGGTAAATTAAATATATGAAGACCCTTGGTGGTCAGTCGTTTTTCACTCTATTGTTTTTCTTATAACCCAGTTGTTGTCAGTACAAATTGTCACAATGTCTATATCTGGAATTATGATATTTATATTTAAAAAAAGCCCACTAGCTTTATATCAACCCTGCATACACACAATTATACATTTATATACATACAGCATATTTCTTGTTTCAGCTGTAAGCTAATGTAGTGAAACAAGTGACAGCTATCTGTAACATTTTTTGTTACGTATGCAAGATTGTTTAAACGTAGCAAATCATATGAAAATGTCTTCTTCTAAATGTAAGTTATTTCCATTATTACTTTGTGTATTAGATGAGATAGATTCTTGGTATAAATTAAATAATATAAGTTGCAATGTTTTCTTTTATGAGGGTTTATGTTTTGGATGTAAAGTACCTGGTAGATTTGTTTAATATGAAATAACTTTGATACTAATTTCAATCATAATCATTTATTTTATTCAGACACATTGGGCGGGCTGTTTTCCCAGATATTCAACGGAGAAGAAGTTGTCCGAGAAAGAGCCATTCGTTTCTTAAACAGCAAAACCAAGGCCTTGCCTTCAGACATTATGACAAAGGAGTTAGAAGATTACATACTTCAAGAATGCCAAAAGGTGTTTCATGTATTTTATAGAAAGTGCAACTTTGTATGTATCATTCAAATATGAACTATTGTATATCGACTTACAAGTTATTAAACAAAGAAAGTTAATGACATGCTTCTCAAAAACAATGGTAAATTGAGGAATTAGTTCTATGTATTTTTGATTGAAAATGCAGCTGTAATATAATTCTTGAAAGAGAGCAAATTTTTTTATGGCTTGGAAAATAATGAAGAACTCGATAAAACTTTAAAAGCAAGAAGAACTACAAGATATTTTCTGGAAAACCTAAAATATAAACATGTATGTAAATATTAAATCTTACCCCATTCAATGAGGAAAGTAGAGCACTTCTGTATTAATCAACAAAAAATTTTTAAGATAAATAAAATTATTGTATATTCTCTAATATGCTCATAACTCCATTTATAAACAGGTGTATTCAATTTTGTTTTGTAACTTTCAAGCGTTGTACTCCAGTTGATTGCTATTTTATGTCTATCAAACATTACATTGAACTTTCTTATAATTGTCACAACAGATAGCAGTGTACAGTAACTTTTATGTCCTATACATGCATACATATGTATATAAATATATATATATACAGTGTAGCCCCGTTATAATGCAATTGTTGGGAACCATAAAATGTCATCGCGAAACAAGCGAGGTCGCACTAAATCGGGGTTCAAGAAAATCACTGTTCAAACTGACCCAATGTTGACCTAACATCCTAAAACACCTCTATTTTTGCCCTCTTTGACTAGTTTTTTACACTTTCCCTTTTTGGCAAGTAAATTACCTCTGAATAAAGAATTTTGTGAATGAATTGTTGTTGTTACAGTAGAAATTAACATACAAATTATTTTTAGTAGGCTTTTTAATAAACAAAACAACAAATAAAAGCATTCAAGAATATTAGCAATCATCATTTGCAGTTTATTTCTTAAAAAACTGATCGAGTGTTCCGTGCTTGAACGTAGCATGTCTCTGGCTGCGACCGAAATCTAGAATGCTTCTGAGTTGGAGGATTTTTATATGGTCCACCTCCTGAGTCTCCAGCCAACGGAGGCTAGCCTCGAGGTGTTCAATGGCTTCAGACACTTTTGATGGTGGTGATGGAGGCTTTTCATTATCCTCTTCTTGTGGCTCGAGAACTGGTACACTTGCCTCCGTCGGTGCTATAGTTATGTTACGGAAGATCTTGGCATCCGTCAAGTGCTCATATGTTGGGCATTCATTGTCAACAGTGTGCCACTGGTGTAGCTCTTCTTTGTTCCATTCAGACAGCTTCTTTGCCTCATGCACATCTTCCTCTGTGAAGCCGTACAAATCTGTCTCATCATCATCTTCCGTGGTGGATTGCCATGATGAAAAGGCTAGCCCTAGACCCATCTTCCAGCATTTCTCTATGCACGACAGGCTGACTGCTGCCCAGGCCTTTCCACCAAAGTGGCAAACTTCTTTCAGATAGGCTTCAAGCGTTGTTGAAGGATTTAGTGAAAAAAAATGTTTGAAATGCATTTAGCAGGATTTAGGGATTACACAGAGAAAATTTGAGATTTTTTAGATGACGAAAAGTATTTTTAATTTTGACATGAAAATCACTTTGCACTCAGACTAGTTAAAAAAAAGAATCAATATTTTCACGGACAAATTTAAGTAAAAATACTTCATTAAAAAATCTGATTTTTTGTGTGCAAAAGGATTCTTATGTTTACTATAAGCCTACAAAATTTTTTAAAGATACACTTAAAATATTAAAAGTTGTTAGTATGTAAACTATAATGAGGTTATGGTTACGAGGTCGGTACCAGGGACCCAGCCCATGTCGAAAGAGTTAATGACTCATTGCTTTATATTCGAATTCGTGTTAAATCGGGGCTCGTAAAATGTGGGCTTCACTGTATATATAAACACACACACACACACACTAGCAGGGACCTGCAAAACATTTGCAGTCAAATTACCATCTTTATAGCAACAGTACTTCTTTATGTACAGGATTTCTAAAATAATACAAAAGAATTCTTATCATGGACACCGAAATCTGTAAGTCTACATGTCTTAGGCCTAACATTCATTAAGCCTTTATTAAGCATGGCCTGTATTGGATAAATTAACACTGTAACTTGTGTATGTTTTTGCTTTATTTTAGTTATGGCTAAACTTTACCATATTTAACACTATCAGTAAATAAACTTATGTTATTCTGTGATCTAATATTAGATTTTTTTAAAAACTTTGATAAGCTTTTAATATGTCATTGTACAAAATGTCTACTAAGTATATTTACATCCGACTTTTGTTTACATCCATTGAAATGAAGTGCACGAGCATGTGTATCTAGATAGTAAGATGTATGCACATTTTCAGAACAGATAAAAACTTGAGGTTTATTACTCTTCTTTAATCTTTTTTATTTTTCTTAGATTTTTTTTATTTTGTTAATTCTTTTGAAGTAATTAATAAAATTATTTTTATTTTAGAGATTGATGTGTACTGCCATCAGTTGTGCTAATTTACAAAAATATTCATTGTTGCATGTTATGTAATGTTCTCGACCATTGCCTAGTGGATTAATGTGCTCGGATTGTGAATCTGAGTTCATAATTCATATTCTGTTGATGCAGGAATGCTCTTCACCATGGGTGTGCTATAAGAATAATGGAGAAATCCTAGTATTTGGTCACATAAGAGTAACCAAACATTTGTGATGAATACTGTTGACTTGCTATGTTCTGTCCAATCAGTTAGAAATTAGGTACAATGATGTGTAGATAACCCTTGTGTAACTTTGTGTGAAATTTCTAAAGCATGTATAACATATAAGATGTGTAAGGTTCAACATTTTTGCCATTGTAACTGTCCAAGAAGAACTTGTAAATGAGCTTGAAGATTTGCAGCAGATAAATATAATGTGCAGTTAGTCAGAAAGCACAAGTTTATTAACCTCCATACATTTTTCAACTAGTGGCTGAAGTTGGCAAAGAAATATTCAATTTAACAAATAACGTAAATTCCCAAAGAATCTAGAATTAATTGTCAGTTAACAGATTGATGTTCAACTTATATTTTTGTAAATTTGATACTCAGAACAATTTACTTGACGAGTGAAATTTTCTGATTTTAGTTAAAGAGAAACATTTAATCTTTAATGTAACATTACTGGATACAACACATTTTTATTTTTTGGATACATTTTGAGTATAATTTATTAACATTATACATACACACATACATATATATATATATATATATATAT